TACGAACAACCGCGCAAGTTGCCTTTTGTTGCTTATAATTTTTGATCTGTAATTCAGACACATACATGCATATGTATATTTCACAATTTTTTACAACTTCCAGTTCAATTGACTTACTTTTTATCCATTATAGTACCACTTTCTTATGTAAATTTTATAAACGCAAACTCCAACGACTAAAAAACAGCAATAGAAGGATGAGCGATTAAAAAGTATTCACAGTCGCTAATTGAGCGACTAAGCGACACTCGCAATAGCATCGATAATCGATAATCGCTTAATAGTCGTTTATCTACTGCCAGTCGACATTCGCAATAGGGGTGTATTATCTTTTTAAAAATATTTTATATATATTTTTTTTTCAATTTAAATTCGGATTTTTCCCCATGTTTTCGTCTGTTTTAGTTCGCTGCTTTTGTAAGTAACCTGCTCGCTGCATGTCATGCATCAACTACTTCGTGGGAAGTGTCAACTACTTCGTGAGAAGTTTCAACTACTTCGTGGCCTGTGCGCCAACTACTTCATTCGAAGTGTCAACTACTTCGTGAGAAGTTTCAACTACTTGGTGGCCTGTGCGCCAACTACTTCGTGGGAAGTGTCAACTACTCGGTGAGAAGTTTCAACTACTTCGGAAACGATAATATTAAACGTCAGATCGCATCGCGTCCATTAAAAAAAAAAAAAACAGATATCGGCGCCTGGGTAAAATATTGTCGTAAGCGCCATTTTGAAGATTTTTAGTTCTACATGCAGTTATATATTTTGAAATAAGGTCTTTCGATTAGTGCTATCAGTTTTTAGATATCTCCTCTGGTTTCCGAGATATTGACTACAAGTTTTTCGATAATTTAGTAAAAATTAAATAATTTAAGAGTTTTGTAAACTAGTAACATTTTCAGAGACTTTGGAGAAAATCTTTCTTCGCGTTTTTTCGAAATCGTATTCAAAACTTCAATCGCGATTTCCCACAACCTACCGAAATTTACATCCGACAATCTTTTACCCAGGCGACGATATGTCGGATACTGGGCTTATCATAAAAATTATAAATGCTGTAAAGCAACGCGATTGCCTGTGGAATATACATTCCTCTGAATATGCAAAGCGAGACAAGCTGGAAAGGGCTTGGCAACAAGTTGCCGATGATGTAAGCCGACAAGGTATGTATGTAGGTCAGGTGACTTGATGTAGTCACTTACATAGCAATTATTCGATGTGCTGCATTGATGTGATTTGTCCAAGTATATTCCATATTTTACAGATGTATTTTGCCGTGGAAATCCCTTCAATTTAATCCATGTTGACATCACTTTAGCCACAGGCTTCGAGCTCGCCTCTTGCATAGCAGCCCACGAATCCTCCGTAAATGTGTTCCTGTATTGATGGCGTGTCAAATAGATGTTTATGCCTTTACGAAAGTCCTCCTCGCCAATATAATCGTGAGGCATACGTATAACAGAATCGCCTTTATTGTAGCTAATTTCATCTAAAATCTCATCGACCTCACATGGATGGCCGACAGGCACTTCAATAGGATGTGAGTTTTTCAGCGAATCTAATTCTATGGCGCGTGTGTACATATCAGTCACGAATTGCGCCCAAATGTCATATTTTGGGAACAAGTGATTTACGCACAGGAATTCGACGAGCGGCGTAACCTTCATCCAACCATAAATGTGTCCACCATTCCATAGTAACCAGATTGCCTAAAAGATTATGAAATGTGTGAGAATAGTTTCCAACAAAAGTTTTATATAAAGAAAAACTTTTGTGCATTCTATTTGTGACTTTCAAATTCACTTTTCTGTTTACATGACATAGAAAATAGATCATAAAGCACAGTAATTGCTTCCTGTTCTTTTGTTTTCTCCATTGAAGCAGCACCATTTTGCAACGTGGCTCAAACAATAAAAAAAAGACTACAAAAAGCAGTCTTTTGTTTAAGAAATAGTCGCATTGTAGACATAAAATTCATCTTACCAAACCATTGATGTGCGATCTCGTGGCCCACAGTTAAGGCAATCGATTGCTTGCGCATAATTTTTTTTTCGGTTCCACTAATACAGATGTCTCAGGATATGTTACAAAGCCTCAATTCTCCATTGCACCGGCCGGAAAATCGGAAATCGCTATCAAATCCATCTTTGACAATGGATATGCAATGTTGAAATAACTTTTATAATACGGCAATACTTTTGTGGCTACTTCGAGTGCAAAAATGCCCTGCTCCTTGCCAACAGGCGTGAAAACTCGTACTATTATGCCACCTTCCGACTTGCCTTCGACATAATCAAATCGCCAACCACAACATAATTCTAAAAGATATTTTTTCTCTACATTTTGATGTATCAACTATTGCAAAAATTTAAGTAATAACGAAGATATTGGACAAAATAAAAAGCTCACGCTCACATTGAAGTAAATAGCTGACTGACTTGGGAAGAAAAGTGAAGTGACGACTTTCAAGTAGTGATGTGCCGAGTCGAGTCGACTCGAGTTCTGACTCGAGTATTTTAGAAGTACTCACGTACTCGAGTAAGCAAATTATAGTATTCGCATACACAGACTCGAGTACGGGTCTCGAGTACTTATAATTATCAAACACCGAATAAGGTATTTTTGATATATAAATGGCTGCTTAGCGTTAAAAAAAAAATATATATATATTTACCAAATACACCACACAACTAAATTAATTTTAATACCGTTTTAGGTATTAATTGCCAAAGATGAAAGGAATTTTAAATTCCAAAGGAGTAATTTTATTGTTTATGAATATAGATCTCATGGAATATTGCCATTATAATTGATGTACTAGTTGAACTTTTAAGGTACTGAAGATTCATTTTTTTTAACTCATTATTTACTTTGGATTTTGGATATTTTTTTATGACAGACTACTAAGTTCTAGTTCTACTATGATAAATAAAGCAACTGTTATTGAACCCTATATTTATTTAATTTTAATTGTTATTTGTAAGTATGTAAGAATTAGATTTCTATGTTTGGATCTACATAAATCGGATATACTATCTTGGAGTTAATAATAATATCATGTTAAGTAAAAAGTCGGCATTTCGGTTGGGTGCATGTTCAGCAGTCGAATCTATAACATATTCGAATACCGAGCTCTGAACTCGAATACTTGATCCGAGTATCTGACTCGAATCCTGACTCGATTCTTTTTTTAATGAGTACCAAAATACTCGAGTACCAAAAATAGCCGACTCGGCACATCACTACTTTCAAGCACAATTAGGAGTGTGGGGTTTTTCGATAAGGTTTATTATCACCTGATTGGTTAATCGATTTTTGTTTTTTCACACAAAAAACGATTTCGACATCATGCATGTAACATGTGATCGATAAAGCAGTAGTTGTGCTTAACCGGAGCTTCTACCTCCGATTTGTGCTAATGATGGTAATGTTAACCGGTAAGTAGTTGTTTCCTAACGGAACGCGGGACCCGCGGGATTCGCGAATGCCGAAATAGCCCAAAAATCGTTACCGTTCTCCAGAAAATGGGCAGTAGAGAGAGCATGCATTCCACAATTGGATCGTAAATGTCTTCTTCTTCGTGTCCGGAATAGCCCGGACTTTTTCTCCGGGCAAAAATTGATAAAGTGTCAAAGTGGCTATCAGCTGTTTTGTGTTTACATGTTGCCTGCATTTACTTTGTGCTTTTAAGGAATAGTGAATGTATTGTAAATTTTTATATACTTAAAATCAAATTTGTGAAATAAAAATTCAATTTCCAAGATTTTCCATTGAAGTAACAAAAACAGAAACAACGTGAATCAGCTTTTTCTCAAATTTTGGGCACGAAATATAGTTTTTTGTTTCTCATTTGTTGTTTTGGACCTAAAATTAAAGGTTTAAACGTTTTATTAAACCAAATTTCTCTTTTAAAATACCGGTGAAAATTCTCCCAGAATAACGAAATCAATTCTTCTCCTTTTTGACATACGTAATACCTACTTTTTCCCGAAATACATTTTCCCTTTTTCGAAGATCGTTTAGAATAGGAGATTAGGGAAAGGAGGAAAAACCCTCAGGGAATTTTTATTCATGATATGTATCACTTTTTACGTATCTGCGCGTCGGTTAGAGATGAGTTCGAGAATGATGTTGGATATCAACTTGAGAACTATGAATTTCTCCAAGGTTGGAGAAACATGTTTTTAGTGTTTATTGGGTATTAATACTAAAATCTAATTAATCGATTATCGATTCACATCAACAAAGTCATCACCAGTTACACAGCAATGTTATCACGAGATTTAAATGTTTGATGTATGAAAACAAAAAAAATTAAGGGTTATTTTCATCAAATATTTACTAACTAATTGTGAATTTTTATCCACCCATTCATTTCTTGGCGCTTCAAAACTATTCATGTGAAAATTAAAATCAAAATGACTTCCTCCAAACAAACGATGCCAGATCAGAGATTTATTAGGCGGTTTTTTCGTAGCTTTTTGCGAAAAGTTATTTTGAAATGCTTACTACTCAACAAGGATTTTAGCACAAGATTGTTGATTTTGGTTAAATAAATTATATATTTAAAAGAAATTTTTATTTATTTTGGAAATAAATTTAATTTGCGGAAAGTGAAGTGAAACGAAGTAAAGTGAAGTCACGAAGTAAAGGCTCCCAAAGTGAAGTGAAAAACTATTGTAAAAATGTATTGTAAAAATGTATAGTAAAAATTTTACTAGCAGAAATTAGCTGGAGAGCCAAAAAAAGAAGAGCCTAAGAACGAGAGAGAGCTGCTAGTTTTTTTTGGGTTGAGAAACGCTTTCCCGCATAAATTAGTGATAATTTGTGATAATTATCTGTTAAGAAACAAAGCTAGTGTTTTGGCTTCCCAATTCCAATACGTTTCCAACAATTCCAGCGGGTTGTCAAAATCAGCTGTTTAATACGATTTCGTATTTCAGCTTAAACGTCAAACAAAAAATAAAAATTATAAGAAATTTCACTTCCTTCAATTCGAGGACAAATCAAATTTGTTTAAAAAGTAGGTAAAATTCAAAATTGCACATCAAAAAAGTAGAAAAGAAAAAAGAGTGCTAACTATTTAACAAAAACTTAAAACCAAGCACA